GTTATTGCTTAATTATCCTTTTGTAAATTATAATAATTAACTTTATTGGATTGAGACAAGAAAGTTTAGAAAAATATATAAAAAAACGTCAAAATTATTTAATGGAGCTATGAACAAAAAAATAAATCATATTCATGTGTAATTTTTTATTTAACACATTTCATGAATTTATTTGAAGACAATCAAGTTTACAGTCTTTAGTCAGTTAAATTTTTTTTTCAGTTCTCAATTACTCCTTTTTCTGAAGCAAAATCATTTTAAAAACACCAGACGGGATCATTTGATAAAAAAAAATATAAACATTAGTTATGAAAACTTGACTTAATTACAGTCAGAAAATAATACTATTTAGCACGATCATGAATGTCCTTATCGTTCTCAATGATGCCATCGTCAGTCCTTGCAAAATATTTACAATAAAACATCGAAAACAAATACTTATATTGCAGGACAAGACTGATCTTTCTCCTCCAGTTAGTCACATGAAATTAATGAGCTTTCGAAATATCACTGATTACATCTAAGATAGCTTCATCCATACGCTTTAGCATTCGTGAATCCAAATTAAAAAAAATAAATAAAAGGAACCAAGATTCAGACAACTTCCTTGTTTTTTAAAAAAACATCGCCAAAAATAGACAGATTAGAAAAGCTAGATAGAATTATTTTCAGAGCCGTTGACAAAATGATTGACGTACATGAGGAATGCAAACTTGATGAAATTGAGACTAGGGTAGATGAAACTGAAAACAATATTCAGTATCGAAATCCTAATTAGTAAAAAAATGTTGTTTATATTTTGATCAATTATCCTTCTGCTAAACTCAATTAATTTAATTTTTTTGTTTAACCAATAATAACAATTTAGTCCGATCAGATGGCAACATCTATCGGTCATAGAGCTCATCTCGTCAACGTCTCTTTAAAATTTAAAAGAAGCATTACAAGATTTATACAGTATTTATAATTTTGTGATTTTTTTCATGATGACGATTTCGATGAAAAGTATGATTTCGTAAACACCTAAATTAGAATGCTCAAGTTACACACTATAATAATTGGTAATTGATAATTTGTTGTTTTTCAGTCATTTTTTTATCAGTTGTCAGATATTATTAGGCTGTAAAAAATAAACAGTTCCTATTCCTCTAAGTTCGACTAAAATACCAGAGTGAATAATACAGTCTGTGTTTTTTTTTCTCTCTCTGTTTACTTCCTTTATTTATAATGCTTTCTAAACTGAAATAATTTTCAATGTGTTTAACGCACTATTATGAACGAATTGGTTCCGTGACTGTCTCAAATGCTTGTGACGGACAGAACATCTACTATCGTTTATCTGATTTTCATAAAATTTTCAGAGATAGTGCAGGTCGGTGCCTAGATAGCTTCAAGTTCCATTTATTCCTTTTGCTTAAGAATGAGTAAATTTACTATCTTGTAGGCAGTGTGTTTAAAAACCGACTCGTTCTGTAGACTTTATCCTCAAACTATGTAAGTTATTTCAAATCAATATACGTAACTACAGCTATACAAAGACTTTCTTGGTTTCTCCCTATATAATATTAGTCATAAACAGTGGCGTAACTAAGGACAACAGCGCCCCAACGCGTTTTTTTCTTACTGGTTCCTCCCCACTCCTCTACTCTGTGTTTGTGTGTGTGTATGTGTGTGTGTGTGTGTGTGTGTGATTTTATACCAATTAAGTTATGGGAAGATTTTGATAAGTATCGAAATTATTTTGAAAATTTTCATTCATCACATAAATGTAAGCTTGGTCTAGTAAGTTAATTTGACAATATCGTATTCTTGTAATTATTATTAATTTATGTTCATTATCAGTTGATTAGTCACCGAGAAGATATAAAATTATAAAGAAAAATGATCTAGTAATAATAGATAAAAACACAGTGAAAAAACACAATAAATACACCTTCATATTGAACTATATCCGGAAACCGGGATGTAAACACTTAAAACAGGTAATAATATAGGAAAATGGAGGTTTTTTTTATTTTATTTTTCTGCTTCTCCTCATTATTAGCTGTTCAATTCTCATTATTTTCGGATAGATAGTAATTTTTACCTTTATTACTTATTCAAGATTTGTATGAGTTATTTTTTAGCAGATAATTGTAAAATCCTAGGGGACTCAGACACTCCGGCCCAGTTCATCAAATATTGGGATGTCAAAAACCTATCCCTCGGTACCGTCGCCTACTGTGGTTACTACAGATAGCAGGATGTTTAGATATCAGATTAGTCAGGAGTAGTTTTTATTTACCATCGACAAGGACATATCACTTGAAAAACTGAAATGTTAAAACTCATTGTTTGTTTAGTTTTATGGATTAACCTGAAATTATGTCTCTACATTTTTTATACAAATTAGGGCACTAACGATGAATAGCACTAACGGACTGCAGCGGGTCCGCGATTCTTACCTACCCTAAACTAAAGTAAAAAAAAGCAACACAATAGACTTCCCCCTGCAAACGGATTCGTTCACTATATGAAGGAGGTTGGCTTCCAAGTAGATTAAAATTAAATATAATTTTATTATTATTTTTAAAATTTCTGTTAAGTATAGTATCACTCAACGCTTCAGTACCCAAGCTCGAACCAACATATGAGTTTAAAAAAAAAAACGCTGCAAATGATTTCACAATGGTTTACTATCTCCAAACAATTATACATCTAAAGTAACATTACCTTCCGAGTTACAAAGAAAAAAAAAAAAAAAAAGGTGATTCCAATTATTGGACTAAACTGTTTTTCTTTAATCATTAGTAATATGCTAAAAAAAACAAAGCATTATTCCAGTAACACATTTAAAATTTAAAAACCAAACCAAGGATATAACATTTGGAGTAGAACACATAAAAACAAACCAGAGACCATATCTTTGCTCCTAATTGTCCGAATTTAACGATTTTTGTTTTGTTTTTTAGGAAATTTCATAAACTTTTAGTATAGGAAAAACCATATACAATAACGCATCTTGATACGTGAAACCTCAAATTTTGAGAGGGGGTTGTGTTTTTGAATTTTTTGGTCGATCACAATGTTTCATTATTGAAAATAATAAAACAAAATATGTAAAAACCGCGATATCTCTACTAATAGTGCTTTGATTTCGATGAAACTTCCTTCATTTTTTAGTAAATTTAAATACCTTTGAAACATCTCACAATAACAACAAAAAAGTAAAAACTTTTCTAGTTATTCGGAATTTAATTTTACCATTCCTCGTAACTTTTTTTCCAGCTTCTTTTCGTTGAAGTATGTTATATAGATAAATTTAAAGGGCGTCAAGAAAATGACTTTAGCGAAGTTTCATTGAAATCTGTACATTCGTTTAGGAGCTACAGTCTATAGCAAAGCAGGTTTTTCGGCCGCCATTTTGAAAGTTAAAGGCGGAGAATAATGTCGATGAAGGAGGATCATCCTCGGGTGACCTCTGATTTTATATCAAAATTTGAAAAAAAATCGGTCCAGTAGTTTCGGAGAAAATGCACGGACGGCGGACGGACAAAAAGTTTTACTCGTTTTTCGAATTCTACGCCTCTTGAAAAGTGAAACCTCAAATTTTGAGAGGGGGTTATGTTTTTGAATTTTTTGGTCGATCACAATGTTTCATTATTGAAAATAATAAACCAAAAAGTCTGATGGCGTTATTGTAAGAATGGTTTAAAACCTTCTAATACTATTGTTATACAATTTGGTACAAACTGTGTATTAGTGCATTGAATTTTCTATCGAATGCCCTAAATGTCTATGAGGTTAAAATTAATGTTTTATTTTTGTATTATTATAATCGATATCATTTTTATGAGTAGGAATTAACAAATAGATATACTTTTTAATATATTCAATATACCGTATCATTTATCGGTAATGTTAGGGCAAAAGGTCGTATAAAAAATTATTTTTTTTTAAAAGGGATTATAAAAACCTATTAGTTTTTGATTCGAATTCCAAGCGATAGCCCTGATGATGACCCACATTTTTGGTTCGAAACGTCGGCTAACACATTAAAAAATTTTGACTGAAATTCTTGACAATTTTGTTTCATCCTTATAATTCATCAAGCAATTACTTATCCATTTCTATTTTTTTATGATTTATTAGTATAATTTTATATTTTATATCCCTCTGTTATTTTCCTGTTTAGCAGACTAGTTATAGCAGTTGTAGACTACCAAGTGTCACTTTTAGCACAAAGAGAATAGGCATTTAAAATTGTTACAAACGACCTTTTGCACTGACAGTAGCGATATTGCTTTGTTTTGCTTTTTAATTATAGAAAAAATTAGACCTGAAAACATGTCATTTTTTCTGAATCATTCGTCGATCAATGATAATCCTCACATTAGTGTATGCATACATGTAAAGGTACACTTAGCTATGTGTATTTATGCATTGTGGATTATGGTAATTAATAGTTTGAAAACTTGATAGTTTGATGACGGCACGTTGATGCGGCATGAATTATCACATAAACATTTGAGTGAAGAACCGGTAAAAACAAAATATATTTTCAATTATGAATCCCCGATTAGTTCCCAAAAACATAAACAAAGATAGTGTGAAAGAATTTGTTTTGTCTAACGGCACTCTGAATTTGTATATAATTTTTTTATTTAGAAAATGCTGTGGAATTTTAATAAAACCTGTTTTAATTTTCATCTAATAAAAAGCATTATCAAGAAAACTGTATGGTCGAATAAAATTTCCATTAATGTTGTTGTCCATAATTGTTGGTTAGATTGATTTCATACAAAAAAAAAAATACATAAATACTTTGTTACTGACGTAGCCTTTGGAATTTAAAAATACATTAAAACTAACGAATTCCTCGGAGTATCGGTTCAAGATATGATTACGATTCTTATGAATTATTCATGTTTGTAAACATTATCGTTCTTCTTATTATCAAACACTGATTAAAAGACATTAAAATCTGTTTATCTGATATGGTATCTTAGCCTCGTACTTACCCAAATTCCAGTGTGGTTGAGAGGCGTGCACTCTCCCGACAAAGGTTAGAGTAGAACTGAAGCTTTGTTAGGGGATTGCAGTATTATACGACCATCCCCACCACGTCTATTGTTGTCCACAACGCCCCTTGTTTCTGTATTTATCATTTAATACAATAATTTAAATTTAATGCAACCACAAATTGAAATGATTTCAGGCCATTTTTTGGTAGTGGGGGAGGGGGAGGAGAGGAAATTAGTGAACTCTGGTTTTATCTGTACCAACCATGCTTACATGTTTTGCCACAAGTGCAGATCTGTTTAAAATAAGACTTAATTTCAAATTTATTAAACTCATCATTTCTATATATATAATAGTAGTAAATTAATAGTTTACTGTCGCGTATATATTGAAGTGGAGTTGGTTGGGGTGAGATGTCACAAGTAATAAAGTAAAAATAAATAAATTATGTTTGTTTATTTTTATTTTTGCCGACGTTTTGGATCAAAGTTCAGACCTTCGTATGGGCTGAGAAAATACAAGATAACAATAGATATGAGAAACTAGTAACGATAAAAATAGTAACCGGTTTATTACCGTCACTGGTTATCTTGTCTTTTTTAAGCCCTGGCGAAGGCCTGAACTTTATGCCGAAACTTTGTCAGAAATAAAAATTAATATAATTTATTTATTTTTACTTCGTTACTTGTCACTGCACAACCTAACCAACTCCTCTACGAATATATAAGTTGAGAAGGAGTTAATCGGGGGGGGGGGGTGCGATCAAATAAATACTAAATAATTACTATATTTTAATTTAGTATTTATTTGACCGCACCTCCCCTCCCCCCCGATTAACTCCTTCTCATATTGTATCAACGGTCAAACATCTCTACATCATTATGAATATATAAGTTGTTAATTATTTATTCGTTTTTTTCAACTATTATCAGTCGTTGACTATTATTAAGTTGCAGAAACAACACTTATTAAAACAGAAATTACGCTCCTATCTAACTTCCAACTGATTTTTAAACAAATATACATGAAAGAACGAAATAAGTACCAAAACACCAAAAGATAACAACAGACTTCGCTGTATTAGCCGGGTTTTAAAAATTCTGACTGCTATGTTATTAGTGGTAAATTTTTATGCAATTTTTCTAACGCTGTTAAATAACATCATTTTAATTAGCTGAAGTTAAGCCAATATTTTCATAAAACAGAACTCCGCTTATCCGTCCTGAGCGGTTTCGATGTATCGCCGGTTAACCGGCGGTTCAGATTAATCTCGAGAATATAAAAGAAAAAACTCCAATATGTTAGCCCACATATAAAGTAAAAATAATGAAAATAAGAAAATTAATCTGTGAGTGATTTCCATTTTGCGAGCAAGTTTCTAACCACTACAATTTAACTTAATATTCCCCCACTGTTAAAAATAAATACTAAAAATTAAAATATTTTTTTAAATATAAGTTTATTTTTCTTTTAAATTATTCCCAACGATTGACGATTCCCCGATATCCTTCCTACTTATGCTGTTCTGCAAGAGAACATCCTGCAATTAACTACCACCTTCTTCCATCCTCAAACAACAATGTATTTCTGTCCTTTATGCTCTCCCTCTCAACTGAACCTTCGAGAACTGAACTGACGATACGGCCAACTATACAGACTACTAAACAGAAAATCTAAACTTTCTATTGGAAACAAGTTACTGATCTACAAGACAATAGTGACACCTATTTGAACTTACGGACTAGAACTGTGGGAAACAGCAACATTTTCTAACATCAGACGCATCCAATCCTTCCAGTCAAAAGTCCTTCGAACAATAGTCGATGCTCCTTCCTATATAACCAACAAAACACCACATCATGATCTCAACATCCCATTTGTCCTAGACCTTATCCCAGAAAAATTCTCCAAATTTCACCAGAACCTTACGTATCATCTAAATCCTCTTGCACGATCCCTAACAAGCACCACCCATCCCTATAATCCTCCAAGAAGGTTGAAACGGCAGTGGCCTCGCGACCTTTTGTAGATTGTATATATTGGAATTCTGGCAATGGCCAGATTCTCCATTCAAGACATGAGGTATGTGGCTAGAGTGCTCTCGATCAATCTCCGCTGGCTTTAGTACCAGTGATGCGGTTGAGAGCGCTGGGTTCTCCTGGAGTCCAGCTTTTCCATGTCCAACTCCATAGTTGGAGGGACAAACCTTTCTCGGAGTTCCCTCACCTGATTGAAAATAGTGTATATAGGAATGCATGTGTTTTTACTTAGTTTTAATTTTCTTACTTGTAGGTTATTTTATTTTATATACCTTTTTATTATTATTTATTGTTATTTTTCTTCTATTTATTTTAAATTTTTTGTACATATATTGTGAATGTTATCCTAGCTCACTATAACTAATGTCCAAGTGACAGATTGTTGTAATACTGAATAAATAAATTTAAAAAAAAAACCTTCGAACGTTCCTTTCTTACCCGCTCTTATCTATTACCTGAAATTTCCTTCCATCATATATGACATGCTTCTTTCCTATCCCTTTTCTCATATATATTTTTTCATTACCTTCTAACATCCCAAACAAACGCTCTCCTATCATACAATTTTTAAATGAATAATAATTGTAATATTTTAGTTTTAACTTTAATGATCTTTAAAGTTCCATTTTTATGTTCTAATTTTCTTTTTTTTCTGTTTTTTTCGTTACAATAGCACTTATTCAGAATATGATTTTATTTTTTGTTGTATTTTTACATTAATTATTAATTCATGTTTATAATGATTGAATGTTATTAATGTTTTTATATTTATTTATATTTTCTATTTATTTTACATTTTTTTAATGTTTTCTTAAGGCTACTAGTACCAGAATAAAGTTTGTTTTCCATTCTATGTTAAAAGTCATTATTTCGCAGTGTAAAATAATCCGTTTATTTTTTGGCGGTCGTTATTATTAGGCTACCTTTTATAATTATTTCATTTATTCAATATATGTTTCAATATTGTATGTGATAATATAGTTTACAGGAACAATATTTTTATAATATTAGTTGCAACGATTTCGACAGAATAAAACATAATGTTGGCAGGACGGCTATTTATAATTATAAATATATCGCTTCATTCTTTACCCAATTTCAATTATCTCCGTACTACTAGATCTTAAAACAAAATATGGAATTCAAGCTGATTTATGTTAATTACCACATTCCCTAAAAAAATATAAAAACATTTTTCATCTTGGCCTTTTCGTAAGAGTGTCAGCCGAATGTAAATATAAGGTGTGTAACAATGTCTTAAATGTCTTAAAATTACCGTTATTTATTAAATATATAAAATTATAAAGAATTGACAAGGAAAATTTCTGATCTTGGCGACCGATTGTAAAATTATTTCATGGTGATCAATCAGGAACGATCAAGATGAAACCACATTTAATACTGATGCACAAGTGAGATTGGATCTTTATGTAATAGTTAAACGCCATACGTTTCATGCTTTATTCATAATGTTCATTTTAAAATACCATTTGTCTTATTTTTGTTTAATCCTATTAACGATACACATCAAAGCATCTTTCAAAACCCAATTAAACCCGATATTACGAAGCCGAAGGATATTTCAGACTGAAAAATAGTCAAAGCAACGCTATTCATGACTTATTATTTATTTTAAATGACAAAACCAAAAATGAACTGGACCACAGATCTCTTTTTATGCTTATCAAGCCCTGAAGATTCTTTTTGTTCTTAACTTCAAATTACCATTGTTATTTTAAGATATATAAATCGAGATATTAAAATCTGTTTATATTGATGAATAAATATAAGAAAATTATTTTATGAACTAAAACTCTTATATTAATGCATTATACAATGTGAAATTTTGCAATTAATTAAGCTTCAGCTCTTAGTGCAATAATTCATTCTGAATCCGATTCATTCAGCATTAAGCCAACGGATAGCAGCTTACTATACAGTACACTAATCCATATTTTAGTTTATTAGGCAATAGAATTTTAATTAGAGACTAAATTTTATTTTATTTTTTTCAAATATTTGTTTAACCATCCTCAGTCCAATGTTATAATATTCATTCTATATAACTATAGAATGAATTTCATCATGAATTCAAACCATAAAAACATGTTTATTCAAATAACCAATTTTTATTATTTTATTTGTTTAAGATCATCATCTAAGCTTTACTACTATCTTGAGACTGACTCAAAAACTCTGACATGATAACAATTTTATTATTAACCTATAATTAAGTAATACTTATTTTTAGTTTGATATAGAACTTAAATTCACGATTATTCATAACGGTTCACATCGGCAGAAACATGTTAAAAACATTATTTAAACAGTCTTCGGTTCCAGAGAACACTTAAAATATTAATAGAAAAATGAATGTCCAAAACTTACGTCATTTACAAACATAAACAATTTTTTTTAAACAAAAATAATTGTTCTATTCAAAGCCTTTAACAGACCATTATGTCACTAATAAAAGAATATTTGTTCTTTTTTCGACGATAAAGAAGTTCAGTGGAAAAGTGAAACATTAGTGAAAATTCGAATTTTAACATAGTATAAAAATCGTTTAAAGAAAATATATTTGTAATTAAAATACCTGAAGCTATTATCAATAGCAGTTCGTTCATTTTGTAACTAAACGAACATACATAATTAAATCTTCTTTTTTTTTCAATAATAACGGTACTTTCTCTGGAAAAATAAAAAGAAACTATATTATTAAATGATGATGAAGGCCTCTAAAACAACAAAAAAATAAACAAATAAAATTTAAAAAAATGGAATAATAATAATTTTAGGGCTGAATTTTTTATATGTTTTTCTAGACTCATTCTTATATATAAATATTTATCATAGATCACACTTAGAAAGAAATATGGACCAATGAAAAAAATACATACATTTCTCTATTTTGGGGACCTACAGCCTCGCAGTCGATCCGCTAGTTACTCTTCGCAGATATATTTCACATCCAGTGTTCGTATTCAATTTCCTCTTA